TGCAGACAAATAAAAATAACACCTCCATTTTCTAAAGATTATTCATGGAGTTATGCCGGCTTGTGATGCTGCAGTGACTTCCTGTTTACATAGCTGGTTGCTCTTGATTGGACAGCGTAAACAGACTTACACATCACTAACTCTTTACTAGCTGTGACATTTCTTAAGTGTTTAGTGCAACCTGTAGTGAACTTTTTCCTGTCTCCCGGACCCTTTTATCTGAGGCTCTAAGGACAGACAGTGTTTTGTACATTTTAAAGACACACTGTGATGAATACACACTGCTACACACTTAGTTTCAGGTGGTAATTTAAATCTCTCACCGCTGAGGATGATGAGGCGGGGTTCCCTGCGGGGGCGCTGGTACAAAGCCATTCCTCGTAGGGGTGGCCAGAGCGTTGCTGTTGGGTGAGCAGGAGGTGCAGGACTGTCGCCTCCTCCTGTAGGATGTCCTCCTCCAGAGACGAAACTCCGACGGAAACCAGCTGAAACACAAATAATTGAGAAGTAAATCTCTGTCCTTACTTTTTTATTCAGTTGTTTCTATTCTTGTTAAATTCATTAATCCATTCAATCCATGAACATGCCAACAGCACAAAACGCATTAGCATTCATTCACTCCTTCATCATTAGTTGTGTGTACAACATAGAGTGTTAACTCACTAATTAACAAACTAACTACCTGAATTATTTTAACTTTCTCTACCCAGGTAGATTCCATCGTAACGTCCAGTCGGCCTCATCTGCAGGAAGAAAACATTAAACCTCTTCAGTATTAATATTAAATTTCACTAACAAGGACCACGCCAACGTTAGATTTCATAGTGGTTTATTATGATGAATAGTTATGGAAGGAGGGGTCAAGAGAGGAGGGATGAAGGGTTCGAGAGGAGGGATGAAGGGTTGAAAAGTTGAAAAGTTAAGTTTTTCAGCTATAAATACATGTTTTCATGTATGCAAATGTTTATAATATTAGGTGTTTGCAAAACGGGCCCCAAATGCTTGAGGCTGCCACGTCTATGGAAGAGAGAAAAAGCCTAAATATAAACTAATCAAACAAAGCATTTTGTGCATTAAGGTGTCATAAAAAACATTTGTTAAAAAGGACAACTACGTGAATTTTTTTCATTGTGACATGAATTTTTCATGTCTTGTGAAACAAAGCGAGAGAGGTTTCACATGTCAGTGTGATCCAGCGAGGGCGGCAAAGTCCTGCCAACCCTAAATCAATGTGCTGACTTTAGTTTCATGAGCAGGGCAGGTTTCTCTTTCCTGACACATAACATCATTTAACATGAACAATTCATTGATCATTTAATTATGACATAAAAGGACATAATATTATGTATAAGATTACTGTGAGATTCCAAATACTTCATGTATGCAGAAAAAATACATGTCATCACTATTACATGCACATAATATATACAGAATATGTGGAACGAGTACTTTGTACATGTTAAACGTGGTTTTGGAACATTGTCATGGTGTAATGTGTGAAGCATGTTTATCCTCTAGGAACATGTTTTTCACATGTAGAGAACATGGGAAATACGTTTGTTTTTTTCTGTGAGGTTAATCCTAAACTTTTAGGAAACAGCACAAAGAATCAAAAAACTGAAAACGTGCAACTTCAGTATTTTCTTCTGCACCTTGAACATAAACTAATCAGACATTTTGAGTGGGAACACCTACCAAAATGTATTTCTTCCAGCTCTGTGAAAAGGAGAAAGGCAGAAGTCACTCACACTGATGGATGATGATTAATTTCAGTCTTCAGAAATGATATCAAATATTTATCCTCATGTCAGACGTGTTTTACCTGTTAAGATGCGTTTGTCATCAGCCAGGTTCCTTCGTCCTCTGGAACAAGAATAAAAATAAACTCGATAAAGGTAAAGCTGTTTCTACGCAGTCAGACTTTAAACTGGAAAGTTCACCAGATGTGTGATGAAACCAAAAGAAAACTTTAAATTTAAATCTATCAGCTTCGTGACTGAAAAATCTGAGTTACTCTCTTCTGATTAGACCTGTCGCTGTTTCTTAGTCACTTGAACTGCTTTTTTGTTGTTGCCACAGTTCTGCACAGTTAGTTTAAGGTCACCGGTTGCGAGTACTGTGTGCATCTTTACTGCTTTCCTTGTAATTTTGAGATTAATTGCTCTTGTATAGTGTCTACTTGTAATTCTGCTTGTGATTTAGTTTTACTTTTCTTTCTTCCCTGGTACTTATTTCTGTCCTGGTGCTGCTGCAACATCTGAATTTCACCTCTTGGGATCAATAAAGGTTTATTGATCTTATCTGACCTTATAGTGAAAGTTTGATAAGATAGTGGGTGGGCGTGGTTCTGAAATAATAACAGGCCTTTACACGTGTTATTAAGGAAATTATGTGTGATGAGAATCTCTCATAGCAAAGGTTAGCTCAACCACATGTACCGTCACCCAAATGATATAACAATTTAAAACATGTATCATTGCACATACTGGGTGTGTAATAATGCTAATAATAATCATAATAATAATAATAAGCCCCGACAAGAGCACAATAAACAACAGTATGGAATTTAACTCCACATATTAAGGTCACATGCACACCAAGCACCCTGTCAATCGTCACAAACCCACTGATGTCACACCGAACTGTCGGGATCAAATGTGAGAATAAAAAGGAGCAGAACAGCAGACACTGGGACACTGCTGTCTCACCTACCGTTATCAGCCCGGCTCACTGAGGACAGCGGAGCAACAGAGAGAAAAGAAACGCTTGTTAAAAGTAAATCCTGTTGGGGGGGTTTAGACAGATGCAGGCCCCGTCCACACTGCTGCGTTTTGGTTTTAAAACGGAGACCTTTTGTTTCGTC